TGGGGGCTGCTGCCCCATGGGTGTCTGGGGAGGGAGGGGAGGACAGGACCCACTTACTCTGTCTGCTGGCTCGAGTCTTTCACTCCTGCCCGTGGGTTTGTGAGGGTTTGGGTTCCTGTGAAAGCAAAGCAAAAGGATGTGGATGATCCCCCCCCCCATCCCAGGGGCCATGAAATTCCTCTGAGCGTCCGTCTCAGGGATGGTGTCGCTTCTGGGCTGGAGAGCGGCTGCTTAAACAGCATCCAGTAACAACTTGATAGGGACAAAAGGTGCTCGGATGGACGGAGAGGTGGAAATTAAATAATGCTGTGGATGGAGTCAGCCCCCAGGATAATCCGGGGCACGTACGGGGAAGCCGTAGGGCAGAGGATCTGCGCAGCAGCCCTGGTGGTTAAGCCGTGGGCTGGTTTATTGCTCTGCAGGAAAAAAACGTTCTCAAGACCAGCATTCTGCAGGGAAAACTCCGACTGGGATGGCAAAACTTAATTGCAGTTGTGGGGCTGCTGCGAAGGGAGCTTGGGCTGGAGGGGGGCTACCAGCTCAGACCCCAAACTGCCCGATGGAGACATGGAAGTGGGAGGGAAATGCTGTGGAGCTCGAGCATCCCTCACCTACCTTGGGTGTTCACGGGGGCACCTCGCCTGGGGATGGGTCCTGCCGACGTGCCGAGGGGGACACTGAGGCTGAACAGGGAGTGTGCAGGGGGGACCGTGGGGCAGCTCCGTGGGTGCTGGAACGAGAGGGCAGCTCGAGTCAGCGTCCTTCTGAGATGGAGGGGAAGGGGCTGCGGCTGGGTCAGGCTTTGTACCCACAGTGACTGGGTGAAGAGCATCAAGGAGATGCTAAGCAGCCATGGCAAATCCACAAGGATCTGCTGCTTTGGCTGCTTCTGTGGGGAAGTGGGGGAAAACCTGCTGGGTTCTGGGAAGGACACACCAGGACACGACAAAGAACCCCAAAGCCTCTTGAGATCTTTTTGTAAAAGATAAGGACTTTTGGTGGCAGGTACCTGGGTCCTGGCTTGGGTCTCTGCTACCGTTTGGCTTGCTTGGAGCAGAGGTGCCTGTTCTGCCCTGGCTTCCCCCCGGGGCTGGGGGAGTGGGGTGCTCACCCCTCTGCCCCCCACAGCCTCCCGCCCCTTGTCACCTCTACAAAAGCAAACGGGGGAAGGCACCGGGCATGG